CTCATAGTAATATGATGCTGGCCTATGTTTCAATTCTCACTTTGGGGGTAGGGAACACTGCAGCCTCGTTAAAAATTTCTTCTTTACCTGATTAAATCAGAACCACTTAAAGAAGATCCACACACATTTTAGCCTAGTAACAGAGCTGAGCTTTGGGAAGCAGAGGGGAAGCTCTCAATCACACTCAGCATTCAGTACAGAACAGATGGTGAACATACTTACTATATAATTTATAGGGTACCATCACTACATATTAGCCCCATGCAGTGGCTGAACTAAGCCAAACCACAGTTCGATGCACACAGAGCGGACTTGGGCAGGTGATATTCCAAGTGTAACTCAGGCAAGAGGTAGAGCCAGGTTCACAGGCTGATTAAAAAAAAAGCACAAGCTTCACATTTGATCTCCTTCATAATACAGAGCAGACGGCTTAATGCAGCAACCCTCACACTGGAGGGGGTTACTCTTCCCGGTGGACTGGGCAAACTCTATCCAGCCCACAAACTTGTGCTCAAACTAGGTCACTCTTATGCAACATCTGCACACAAGCAACTCTCCTTCGTTTCCCCAGGAGCAGCTCAGACACAGTGGCATGAGGATGCCAGGATAGTCCAGGGCCAGGTGTTGGTTTTGTCTGCACTTCTTCAGGGCTGTGCCACTGAGCTGGCATGGGACTTGCTGGGTATCGCGAAGCCTAAAAAGGACAGAAGCCACTAAGGCAGCTCCCTTTTCACAGTGCCTAAGCCTCCCCATCCCCTGCCTTTTACCCAAATACACACATTTGTCATTCAGCTCAGCCGGGATGCTGCAGAGGTATGAAGGAGCATTGCTCAGAGTGGCCAAATCACGTCGTACCGAAGGAGCAACAAGATGGAAAAGATCGAAAGAAAAACTGGATAATAAAAACACTCCCTGCAAAGCGAGGTGAAGGCAACTCTGGCCCAGTCTCTAAGGTAACAGAGCTTTTATCCTTTCTCTGTATTGCTTAAAATGGGCCTGGACAGAGCCCTGGAGAACAGCATGCTCAGACCTCATCTTTACAAGCCCAAGACGTGCTTGCACGCAGAAACGGCTGAGACGCTGCTCTGTCCCAGGGCTTCCCCAGCTCCAACACCTTTGATTCTCTGCTGCTTAGCGTAACAACATACAGCACTGAGTCACCTCTCGGGCCCACAGTGGGGCTTGAGGATTAATTAGTTGATGCTGGTACATTGCTTTGAAGAGAAGTGCTCTCCTGCAGCAAGAGCTACAGGTCGTTACATAGAGAGCTGAGCTGAACGCGGCTCTGCCTTCACGTTTGTTAACTCTGGAAGAGTTAGAAAAGGGAACACAGCAAGGGAAAAAAATTAATGTGTACGTGCACACTTGGAGAACGTCAACACTGCTGTCAAATATAGGCAAGCAGCCAGCACAGACAGGTTAAGGACAATTTTAAGCCAACCAGTGCAGGTACTGATAGCGTCTCAAAGATCACTGAACTTCAGTAAACACCCACGCATTAGACCAACCCAACCTCCACGACACTGCCGACTACCAAGGCTTCAGCAAGCCATTCTAACACTACGTCACGGTCCTCCACAGCACAGCACTGTTACCCCTTTCACTGCAGGATGGGCACGCTGTGGGACAGGAGCTTCAGTGGAAAAACAGAAAAGCAAAATGCTCTATTGCCAAAAAATAGGAAGAGCCTCTTTAGCATGTTCAACTCTACGTGGGCTTTTTAGGCCTTTTTAGTGCTCACCATTGTGCCTGTGCTTTGCTCCTTCCTGGAAACCACTCTAGAAAGAGCG